GGCGGCCAGTTCCCGAAATCCATCTTGGCCTCCGTCGTCCACCCAGCAAGATTTAACATCAAAGCAGCAGCTGCATGCAACTTAAAGATCGATCCACTGGCGTCGTCTCGCGCGGGCAATTTTGTTGGCGAAATATTGAAGGCCGCGTACTCGTAAAGCCCCGATTCCCAGCACGGTCGAGTTCTGTGCATTGCTAGCAATCCGGAGAATGTGGTTGTCGATCAGCAGACAGCCGGTGGGGGGAAAAGTGGGTAACTTCCACCTCTTTCCAAGACGTCTGCTCACCGTGGAAGAGTAACGTCTCGCCAGCGCGTGGCGCCGCCGTGACGAAATGTGAATAATAATTCAAATTTAGAATGGGCATTCCGTTCTAGGGTGAAAATCGGGAAACAAGAACGGAACTAGGGCAACCGACCAAAACTAATAGCGAATAACAATTTAAAGAGATGAGTTTTCAAATCAGACTTGCATCTATATCTCCCGACCGCGATTGCCTGATTCCAAGTGGCAAGGCCCTCCATAGCTTGTGTGCCACGATACGCCAGACCTGGGAGTGCTGAGCAGTTGGAGATCAGAAGATCCTAAAGACCTGTCTCGCCTGGTGTGCAGGAGGTCGTGGGTTAGATCCCGACCCTGACGCCTGTTGCACATTTGGAGTTTGCGTGTCTCTCTCTCTCTCACTCTCCCCGTGGTCCCGCGGATTTTGATCCGGACCCTCCTGGTTTAGGTTGCCACGGTGTTTTCTTGTTTTGTGCCCCTAAAGTGTGTACGTCCGCAAACAAAATAATCTACAAACCCCTTTTTGTTAATCCACTGCTGGATGAAATGAAATTTTACGCCGCTTCGCTCCGTGGCGAAGTAGGGAGGGGGAGGGTTTGCGGGGTGGGAGGGGGGTGTCGTTTGACCATACTTCACCACGCCGGAGTGAGCGTGCGCGTGTGGTAGTTTGGTGAAGTTGTGAGTTGATGAAGTCGTCCTCTGTCACCGACAGCGCCGCTACAGGTGGATTCTAGCCCCCCCCTCCCCGCCAACTACACCCCCACCCCTTCCTAGCCCCCCCCCACCTCCCCGCCCCGCTTCACCGAGCGAAGTTTGAATGAAATGTCAAGAGGAGTGTGACCGCTAAGGTGGCAACGCCTCTCGCTTCCACTCCCCCGCACCCCTCTCCTCCCTCCCTCCCTCCCTTTCCTCCCTCCCTCCCTTTCCTCCCTCCCTCCCCTCCCTCCCTCCCTCCCACCCCTCCCTCCCTCCCTCCCATCCCTCCCTCCCTCCCCTCCCTCCCCTCCCTCCCTCCCTCCCTCCCACCCCTCCCTCCCTCCCACCCCTCCCTCCCTCCCACCCCTCCCTCCCTCCCACCCCTCCCTCCCTCCCACCCCTCCCTCCCTCCCTCCCCTCCCTCCCCTCCCTCCCCTCCCTCCCTCCCCCCCGACTGCACAGCCCCCAACCACCACCCGCCCGTGTCTGCTACGCGCACTGACTCATTCAAACAAGACAAAGGTCCCCCGTATAGCCTTCAACAGACTGTTTGGGGGGTGGGGGGAAAGTGCTGCTAGCGAGGACCTATTGATTGAGGGCCGACGCGGCGCACCCACGAGGGGCGGGGGGCGGGGCGGGGGGCGGGGCGGGGGTGGCCAGCACCACGTCCGTCCGCTTTTGTCTTCCCGGCTGCTGATGCTAATTGCACACGGAGCCGGGAACTTGCCTAACGGATGGTTCAATATATGCGTCACAGTTATTGGTCAAGAGCGGGAATCGAACTCGGGTCACCCGGACCACGACACTGACTCCCTCACAACAACAGCCGCTATTGGCCAGCAAGTGGCGCTGATGGCACCGCAGCACTTGTGTGCCAGGCTAGGTGCACTTTGAGGCTCGCTGACAGGAGGTCACGGGACAGTCCCCAGGTGTTATGGGTTGCTCGCTTGCTGCGTTTTATCGTTGTTGTGAGCGTCGCTCCTCTGCCCTCCGATGTAGGAGGGCGACTGAATCCACCTCCCCAGCAGCGCCCGTCACGAGCCTCCTCCACAGAGGCCGATCTTGACACCGCTGGTGCCGGTTATCGGCAAGTCCACTCAGCTCCACGTCCTCCTGTACCACATCACTCCATCTCTCCTCTAGCCCGTGCCGCGCTCGTTTAGCCCCCATCTATCCGGCCAAACAAAATCTACTTGGACATGCGGTAGCTCGGCATGCGGGATACATGACCCAGCCAACGTCGCCTCGCTTTGCCGGAGGAGTTCACTGACGGCACTGTGTCCGGATCCTTTAAGGATGCGTAGGCCCCTCACACAATCCAGCCTGGTTATACCTAAGATGGATCGTAGGCAGGTCAGCATTAATGTTTCAAACTGGCGCAGATGTCCCCTTGGATAGGTTCACGTTTTACAAGCATAGCGAAGGGAGGGGCATGATTGTGGTCGAGAAGACCTGAAGCTTGAAAGCTTCGTGTGGAGCAACATGCCATGTAGCTTCCACACAGCGTTGTGCAGCAGATGAAAATATATTTGGCGCTCAACCGATTCTAAGAAGATATTTTGCTTCCAAGCCGGAGCTGGTCATAAACACACTGCCCAGTGATGAGAACTCTCTCACCCTCTCCGCAACCGCGCCATCACTCATGGAGAGTTGAAGGGGTGGAGTGTTTGATAACAGAAAATATCTCGGCATGTGCTTTGTTTTGGTGGGGCTGATGGTAAGGGACCATCTTCGAGTGGCACGCGTCAAGTCCAGCAGCAGAATCTCCAATCCCTTCTCAGAGTGGACAGCAATTACCCGATCATCAGCACACATACGGTTGACCAAAAGGGAGCCATCCCTTGACCGCACCCGGACATCAATCTCGTGTGCCATTATATCTGTGCCAGATGGAAATTCCCCGGGTACAGACATGGAAAGGTTCCCGTCCTAAATGGTCGACAAATATGTTAAATGATGTAGGAGCCAAAGGACATCCCTGTCGTACCCCAAGGTGAACAGGGAATGGCTCTGATTTATGGCCACGCAGATGTTTTCGTGCCTGCCCATCATCATGAAGGCCCTGAATGATTGTGAGCAGAGGGTCAGGGACCCCACAACCCAGATCCCTGGCCTATTGATGGTATCATAGCCGCTGACCAGGTCAATAAAGCAGAGACGTTATAGGTCCTGTTGAAATTCCCGACACCTCTGCTGTAGCGGACGAGAAAAGATGATGGCGTCTGTGCTGGACTGACCCGGCCTGAAACTACATTGGGGCTCCGCAAGCCTTTCCCCAGGCTTGGCTGGCAATAATCCTTGCCAGGACCTTTCCCAGCATACCCATTCACACACACACACACACGTCTGCCCACTAATCCGAGCTCCCACACGTGTTTGCGTGGGTTGTGTGCACCTAAATAGGTTATCGCTATTAGCACTTGCCCCAAATGAACTGCAAAGGCTACACAGGGGACCTTTGTCTTTTGCTTTGCCGGCTTGCGTATGTGACGGGCACGTGTATGTAATATACTGTACGTGGAATATAGGTACACATACAGTGCAATATATACAAAGACAATGTTTCCCCGTATAGCCTTAACAGACTGTAGGGGCAAGTGCTGTTAGCGAGCACCTATGAAGGCCGGAACGGCACATGAGGGTGTGGGTGGCCAATGCCACGCCCGACCGCCTTTGTCTTTCCAGTGGCAATGTTTACACACCGCATCGGGAACTCATTTGAGGCCAAGTCGACCTTGGGGAGGCCCAGGACCAGTTTAGATTACCGTCACCGGTGTTGGCCATGAGCGGGAATTGAACCCGGATCGCCGGGTTCACAGCGCAGCGCTAACCGCTACACTACCGCTCCCCACACACAAAGATCCCCCATATAGCCTTAACAGACTGTAGTGGCAAATGCTGTAAGCGAGCACCTATGAAGGCCGGAACGGTACGCGAGGGGGTGGGTGGCCAGCACCACGCCCGACCGCCTTTGTCTCCCCAGTGGCGATGTTTTGCACATCACACCGGGTACTCATTTGAGGCCGAGTCGACCTAGGGGGGAACCGCCAAGGATCGGTTCAGACATTCGTCCATTCGTGTTGGCCGTGAGTCGGAATCGAACTCGGGTGGCCGGGTTCACAGCGCTGTGTGCTAACCACTCCACTCCACCACCGCACACAATGCCCACACACACACGCACCCCAACCAACTACACCGGTTCGTAAATTCACAGTGGGCAGGTGGAAATGATTTTGAAACTGGGTATGCAAGTAGCCGATGGTCAGAATAAAATATTTCTCTCCTATACAAATTTGGGGGGTTCACATGTCTGTGATTAATTTCGCACACGCACCCACACTCTTTACACACACACATTATATGCACCCAGTGAACATTTACCAACACACTGACACACGCACAACTTTATATAGACACGCACACATAATATATACACATCTAGCGTATACACCGATACAATGACACCCACCCACGTACCCTTGATATATACACACACATCATATACATTTACTGCACACTTAACAAACTCGTACACATACACTAATTTATATACCCAATAAAACTTACCAACAAAACGAATATACACCCACCCACACCCATCACTCGTGTAAACACAATGTTATACTGTACTGCCAATAACAATACTTATCAACACACACACACACACGTACTCTTTACACACACACACAAACAAATATCCCCCGTGTAGCCTTTACAGACTGTTGGGGCAAGTGCTGTTTGCGAGCACTTATGAAGGCCGGCACGGCACACAAGGGGGTGGGTGGCCAGCACCACGCACGCCCGAGCGCCTTTGTCTCCCCAGTGGCGATGTTTACACGCCGCACCAGGTACTCATTTGAGGCTGAGTCGACCTAGGGGAGGCCCAGGACCAGTTCAGATAATCGTAACTGGTGTTTGCCGTGAGCGGGAATCTACGACACACACAGCCACACTATGACACACACAGCCACACTATATCACACACACTCACACACAGCCACACTACGACACACGCGCACTCACACACGCAGCAGCAGCAGCAGCAACTCAGCCAGAAAGAGCAAGGCACGCGCGCGTGTGGTGCTGCTGCGCAGGGTGTAGAAAGCGAACGGACGAAGAGAGCGAGAGAGGCAAAACGAGAGAGAGAGTAGAGGGGGGAGAGGGGGAGGGAGTGGAGAGGAGGGGGGGCTAATCTGCAGTTGAAGCAAAGCCTTATGGGATTACATCAGCCTCTTGTTCCACAGCCAGTAAGGAAGGATGTGAGAGGGAGGGATTGTTTAAGTGATGTTTTTCACTGCTTAACTTTTTTAATTCCACCTCCCTCCCCCCAATCCCTGCCGACCGGCACACACAGAGTTTGTCGCCGGGAGGTCTCTGGCTGCTGCTCTCTCAGTCTTGCCATCACCACCATCACCACTAGCAGCAGCAGCAGCGGCAACAGCTTACACACATAGTGGGGTTAGGGAGGGGGGGATGGTTGTGAAACAGTTTAAAGTATATGGTGTTTAAAAAAAACCAAAGGCATATTCCAAGTCGGAGTACATCAAACTGTGGCCGACTGCCTCGGTGCTTTAATGTTGGCTACAAAGTTGTGGGGTCCAATTGTTGTTATTGTTTGCTGCGTGTGTTGTTTTAACTGCGAGAAGATCGTATATACAACAACAACCAAAACAAACACCCTCCCCATCGCGAGAAAAAGACGCGACTTGTTGTCAAGTTATTAACAGATTCTCCACCAAAGTAAGGTGAGTTCGACCCGTGCGGTTTTTTTATGTCTTTTGATGCGATGATTATTGAGTGGTTTTTTGTGGTTGTCACCACGCGTAACAGCAACTTTGTACCAACAAGTGAGATGGACGTGTGATATATATGTATTTTTTGAAAACCTTGAAATATTACAACTGCATTGTTGGAACGCTGATTGTAGGGGGTGTTCATTGACTAAAGATCACCGCTTGTTGTGGTAACTTCTCAAAGACCGATAAGAGATTGTCTGTCTCACCCGCCACCGACTGAAAATTGTTTTATCAGCGTTACAGACTCACCGGTGCTGTTATCTTTTGAGCGTAATCACATTTTGCACGCGTTTAAAGTCGGCTGTTGGTTTACACGCGCGCGCGCACTTGATGCAATTTTGGCAATCTAATGTAGAATTTTGTAACGAAATTAAAAGTTGTAGGCGATTGTGTCTGGACCTCGCGCGCTCGTGTAAAATTCCACACTTTAATATTCATCGTCAGCCAGTGTCTATCCACTGCTGGATGAATAAGGGCTTTCCTCCGCACGTGACGAATGCATACATGATAAATGCCATCATGACCTTTTTATAAACTGCGACACTTTAAAAAGTCGGGAAACTTGTCCTGCAGGAAAATCAGTCGTGTATATAGCGCGCGCGTGTGTGTGTGTGCGCAGACACACACACACGGTGCAGTTTAGAAAGTTTGTCGAGTGGCCGTCTGTAAGCACGCAGAAATACCGTGTTCAGATTGTATAATTTCACCTCCGACACGTACATTATTTAAGTAAATAAGGCCATTTACGTAAGGATAAGCTGTTGGAAGAAAAAGAAACCTGTCATTCGGGTTATGATTTTTTTGATCGCGTACAGTACAAGTAGTCCGATAGAAGGAGCGACTTGCGCCTGCCATAAGGAATGTGGAATTTCCACCTCCTGGCTCTTGGAAATGAACGCAGTGTTTCACTTGCACAGCGTGGATACACTTATAATCGCATATTTTCGCAACTTTTTGACTCTCCACAAGTTCCAGATGGTTGAGCGAGTCATGCAGCGTGATACGTTATTGCGATTTAACATACAAGAAGACACTTCTCCCTGGGGACTTATATATGCACGTATAAAAAGTAACAACATGAGACTATCCTAAACCCTGAAAGATATCACGCAGCACTCGTATTTGGCAATGGGAGCGGTGGTGGCATTACGGTGAGCGCGCTTGCACTGTGAATAATGTGGCGGCCCGAGTTCGATACCTGGCCACAACTAACATCAGTGGGTGAGTGACATCAGGACCAGTCCTTCACCACCCCCGCTCTGAGGGGCGTGGGGAAGTATGGTCAAACAACCGTCGTGATTGATACAGTTACGGGGATAGGGCTCTACATTAAACCAGGATTTGCAATGCATCTCTAAACGTTTCGTCAAATTAACTTAAGATTTCAAACCATTTGTAATACAAAAAAAAAATATATAGTCTTCCATACAAGCGTTGAGTTCTGTTTGTGTGCGTCATTATACATCCTTGTATTCTCATTCTGTCTGAATATTTATTTTAAACCGTGGGGGCGGGCGGGGGGGTGACACGTTATTTTGGCTAAAACTGATAGCTGTGGGTCGGCCACGAAACACTTTAATATGTGGACACTAATGGCTGCTCTTTTTGTTTATTTTAAAAGATGCCAGGGGGTGCCCCCACGGCTGCAAAGTTCCGTCTCGTTACTACCACTCGTTGCGTGACTCTGATCGTGTGATAAAGTGTTGCAGTGTTGCACTGAAGCCTGGTCAATCCACAGCTGGATGAGCGCCTGCCCGAACCGTGCGGGTTGTGGGACCTGGTGGTTTATTTGACCATACTTCACCGCTCCGGTCACTGTTGGTTCGGTGAAGTTGGGCGTGATTTGGACGTCACTCTTATCCACTGATGCTAGCCGTGGCCTGGCATCGAACTCAGGTTCCCGGGTTCTTAGCGCCCTGCGGCGTAATGCCGCTTGCATCCAAACACGCAGATACAGTACAGCGTTGTTCATTTGCATATTCAACATTCTTATGTAAATAGAATACGGTGTAAAACTTTATTAGGTAATAACCAAATTATCTCCAGCAATGGTGAGAATTCATGGGTTCCAATCCAAACATTCTGATCATTGCGGAGATCAACTCGCAATCCGGGTCGGTTGACTCGGCCTATCACCGCACTGCGGGGGAGGGGTGGATAAAAAATAAGTACCACGCTTTTGGAAATCGGCCGTATCGTGTGGACGGAGTACTCGCTCGGTCCTGCCCCACCGGTGTAGCTATATCAAGTGTGAAGGCGGTGCAACTGCTCCGGGTCCCACGTGCCGCGAGGAGGTCACAGGGCACGAGGCTATGAAGACGTTGGGGGGTGAGGGAGGGGGCAATTTCCAAACGAAAAACTTGTTTTTATTTTACTAGGTAAGGCCCCACTGAGCTATATAGCTCGTTTTTCTGAAGCGACCTGGCCACCACAAATAATAGCCCAACTAGAAGTGGCTTATCGTGTGGAAATGTATAGCAGCCAAATACTCTAAACACATGTTTCTAAATGTGAAGGAAAAAAAAAAACGGAGGACCGCAGGGAGAGAGACACGCATACTCCAAATATACAGGTGTTGGGGTCCGGATCGAACCCACGACCTCCTGTATACCAGGCGAGGTAGTTAACATCTCGCCACCACGGTGCCCTGGTACAAAGAATTTAATTAATTGCACCATGACCCATGCAAACCGTGCTACTGCGCCCACTGCCCTTGCCATAGGGATGTGGAATTTTCACCACTGCATCAGGGCTTGAGGCAAGAGGTAGTTGTGTGGCAAACCGCTCCCAGACGAGTGGGGAAACCACTTTGGCGTGGTTTTTCGAAATGAGAAGACGCTGCACAATACATCTATCAGGGTCTCAACATCTCTGCAAACTGCAGGAGGCGCAGATGCCCCCCTCTTAAATCAACTTCCGGATGATGACCTCTCCACGTGGTTGTCGGTCACGGGGGTTGTTTGACCGTACTTCACGCTGGTCGGTGCGGGTTGGCGAAGGGCTAGGATGTGCAAGTTCCGGTTCAGATACCAACCCGGCCACCGATGTGAGTCGTGCTCAGGTCGCCGGGTTCGTAGCACGATGCGCTAACCGCTGCGCCACCGTTTCACCATGCCAACTTTGTAATCCCAAGAACAAACTCGGACTCAGTGTCAAAAGTCAAAGTTGTTTTTAGTCTAGCAAGCGTGGGCTGATGCTCATCTCTCCCGTTTACAGCGCTGAGCCAGTGTTGTTAATTCCACATCCATACGAGACACGGGACTGTTGAGTTTTCCCACAAAGTGGTACTCGTTTTATCGACCCCGAAAAGGAATGATGAGCTGATATGACCCAAGATTTGTATTTTAATCCTTAAAATTGACAAATCGTGGACTATGAACCCTGTGCCACCTGATCAGATAGTTGTGACGTGTTTTGAAGAAGTTGCTGCTGTCCGAAATATTATGTTCGATATTATACATTTCCTTTTTCATAATCATAACATTAATTTATACTGGAGGAATCCGTTGAGCTGTGAAGCTCTTTTTTTCCACAGATGTCCAGTAGGGGCGTCTCAGAACGTTACAACAACAACCAGTACAAACACGATAGCAGTGCAAAGTATAGGAATGGCAAACCAATCTCTTGGAAATAATATGCAAATACAACTAAACAATTCATAATAAAGGTTTTTGGGTTAGATCGCGTGATTTATAAATGTGTCGTAACCCTCCACCACCCGACATGGCCAAACAGTAAAAAAAAAGTGTCACGTTTACAAAGGACAAATAGTTCACTACTTTAGCCCACGGGTGTGTTGAAGAGTGAATCAACATCATTTAAAATTTGAGTACGACGTTTCGCTGGTAATTACAGTGAGGGAAAAAAGTGTTTGATCCCCTGCTGATTTTGTACGTTTGCCCACTGACAAAGAAATGATCAGTCTATAATTTTAATGGTAGGTTTATTTGAATAGTGAGAGACAGAATAACAACAAAATCCAGAAAAACGCATGTCAAAAATGTTATTCATTGATTTGCATTTTAGTGAGGGAAATAAGTATTTACCCCCTCTCAATCAGAAAGATTTCTGACTCCCAGGTGTCTTTTATACAGGTAACGAGCTGAGATTAAGAGCACACTCTTAAAGGGAGTGCTCCTAATCTCAGCTCGTTACCTATATAAAAGACACCTGTCCACAGAAGCAATCAATCAGATTCCAAACTCTCCACCATGGCCAAGACCAAAGAGCTCTCCAAGGATGTCAGGGACAAGATTGTAAACATACACAAGGCTGGAATGGGCTACAAGACCATTGCCAAGCAGCTTGGTGAGAAGGTGACAACAGTTGGTGCGATTATTCGCAAATGGAAGAAACACAAAAGAACTGTCAATCTCCCTTGGCCGGGGGCTCCATGCAAGATCTCACCTCGTGGAGTTGCAATGATCATGAGAACGGTGAGGAATCAGCCCAGAACTACACGGGAGGATCTTGTCAATGATCTCAAGGCATGTGTCGGGTGGTGGAGGGTTACGACACATTTATAAATAACGCGATCTAACCCCTAAACCTTTATTATGAATCATATTGGTCGCGAAAGCCTACGTGTTAAACTGATAACTAAACAATGTTTTTTTGAAATCTCACCAGGTAAAGCCCCTTGAGCTATTAACTAATTTTTCAGAAGCAATTCGGCCACAAATCATAGCTTAACAAAGTGGCTTATGATGTCGACATTTTTAGCAGCCAAACAATCGAAATATTCTAGACAGCATGTTTCTAAATAAGAATGCGTTGATTTTTTTGTTAGGACGGTAGTGGCAGATGCAGTACGTTAAGTGTTTGCAAAGGCATTACATTGCAAAGAATCGGATACATAGGAAAAAAATACCTGGTGTCATTTCTAACAGGGACGGCGATTATGCAATCGTTAGTGCAATACGTTACAAACCTAGCCCACCCGAGTTCAG